AATCCTGGGTTTCTGTCATTCAAATCAAATGAAAGCCAAGTTTTGGGTCAAGGTGAAATGATATGCTGCAGTTTTGACTCAATTTTGCATCTCATTTAAAAGATGGATTAAATTGTCAGTGATTATTATCCAGTTTAGCTATGCACTGAATGCAGCCTAACGTTTACAAGCAGTAGTTTCAGAAAAATGTTATAAATTAATATTAGGTTACCTATCATTGAGATTAATTGATTCATTTCTCAAAGAAATTTGTTCTGCATTGAATGAAATTACTAGGCACAGATAAATATTTGTGAATATTGTGTATGTGAATTTTTATAAGTAGTATTGAATTTGACCAGTTTTACAATATTTGAGTGGACACAAGTTTTTTGCTTTGTTTTGTTTTTGAGGCAGGGTGTCACTATGTAATCCAGGCTGGCCTTGAACTCATTGCAATACTCCTGCCTCAGCCTCCTGATTGCAAGGATTATAGGAGTGTGTTACCACAACTAGCCAAGTTTGATGAAGTTAATATACACAAGTGCTTGTTTTCACGCTGAAGCTGTAGATTGAACTCTGAATTATAAATACATAATTGTTCTCTCTTTAAAGTTTTGACTTATCTCTAAGCCTATGTTGCCTAGCATAATATACACTAAGCATCTGACAAATGCTCTTTGAATTATAAAGATCAAAATGTTCAGTTATCAACATATTAAATTTATATCACATCTGACATGTGAGATGTTTTTAAATGTACCTTAAGTGTCAATTTGAATTGTAGAGTTCTGGAATCAGAATTCTTTCAGGGATTTTCTTGTTTGACATTGTGTGATATCCAGGGCTAGGTATAAAGCAAATTTCAGATATCTGTGTTCATAAAATGTGGGACAAGTTGCAATGGCTATGGGGAAATGGATAGGTGATTTTTTTTTTTTTTGAGAGAGAGTTGTGTGTTTTTATATTTTTCTGGAACCAAAGGCTACTGAAATGGGAACAGAATAAATAAGTAAAATATAATGCAAAATTTAGAGCAGAGAAACCAAAAGAAAGTCAAACTCTACAGCTGGGAGAGTTTGCAGTGATTTGGTTGAATTTCAAAATCAAATTATTTATTTAGCTAGGAACAAGTCCTGCTAGGGATGTCTGGTCTTAAGCCGGTTGCTGACTAGAATCATAACTAGGGTCATATTTGCACTCACAGCATCTGAGAAACCGCCCGTGTGGCTCTCAGCCTCCCGCCCTCTCTTCACTCCCACTCTGGTGCAGTCTCTCATCGCCGTGCTGCGATGCCTGCTTACTACTGAGAACAGATGAGCATTTTCTCCTGGGTCTTTTCAGCACTTGAAGCATGAGTCTTAGACTAAAGGTCAGAAATAAGTAGAAAAATGTAAAGGAGGCACGCTCCTTTGACTTTGTGTGCATGGCACTGCTATTTTTTCTGGTTTCTCTGAAGGTTTGCATCATGAATTCTCATATTTACCTATCAGTTTAGAATCAGCAAAGCCATGTCTTTTTTTTTGTGGGTGAATAATACTGAACCCAGGGCCTTGTGCGTGCTAAGCAAACACTCTAGTCCCCCAGGTTTTGTTTTAAACATGCATTTAAATGATCCAGCTCATGCCCCGATTATGTGAGTTTTGTGGAGCAGACTGGAGCAACTGAGATCCTGGTTTGATTCTGACATATTTTCAATATGTGATCGTGTACAAATTGTTTAATCTCTTTGAACTATTCACCTCCTTTCTAAAATACAGAGGTTACTAGATAGCTACATGATCCTTTACCTCAAAGAGAGAATAAGATGTAGTCATTTAATTAAGTAATAGGGTACAATTCAATGAACTGAGTTGACGTTCTGACTCAACTATGCCAACAACTTGCAGCTTGGGGCGCTCTGTGATCTTATGCATGGCTCTAATACATAAAAGTGACCAGTCCCTCTTCCTCCTGACATCTCCTATTCCTACCTGTAGCAGTTTCTTAAACCACCCAACAGTCCCTGGTGCGTGCAGACCTGAAGAGGGTGAGAAATATCCACATGAACCATCTTTTCCTTAGCATTTCCTTGTTTTCTTCAGAGGGTTGCTCTCCTTCGCTCTCCATCGCTCACAATTCATATTTGTGCATTCACTTTCCCATTATTTGACTACTGGTTCTTTTCAGAGTTTCTGTGATTTTATGGTTTTTAAACTTGTCCATCTATTATCAAAAGCAAAATATACATAGAATTGATAATATTTAGTTTTCTTGTTTTCTGTTAAGGGCATGGGGAAAATGTCATGTGCTACGCAGGCCACATAGTGAGTGCCTATTGGTAAAGGGAACAAGTAACTGTTGGTGGGGGGGCTGGGATGCTTGAACCGTATTTTGTAGATTGAATAGAACAGTTCATTGCCTGAGCCAAAGGAAGACATCCAAGCAAGGGGCCAAGCTGAGAGGCAGGGCACCGTTAATGCAATTTGAGTTGCTTAAGACTATTTGAGGGACTTTCTATCATAAACCCCCATGCATACCTGAAAACAGCTTGAACCGTCACTTTCTAAATTTGGAAAAATGCCAGACATTTTTGAACTATTCTCCATGTGCTCCTAAGGCCCCATGGTCATGCTCCAGTGAAGATGGCGCAGTCGAAGAGCACGTGGACTGGGAGGAAAGGCGATATCAGTGAGCAAGGAGGGAGCAGGGGTCAATTTGTGAAGGGAAGCAACTTCTCCCTCCCCAAGCTTTAGCATATAGCCTGGTCGGCACAGGTGGGTGAGGAAGTTTCACGCCCACCCCACCTCTCTTCGAGAACAGAAGCAGGGAGGGGAGCAAGCTGATCTCCCAGGGGGAGACATTGAAATACAGTCTTCCTCCTTGCGGTCAGGGTGACAAGGACAGTGGGCTAGTGCAGCTTTCTGCCAAAGTGGCTGCTGAGATACTCTCTGTGGCAAGTGAGGCAATGGTAGGGAGGTGTGCTGAGACTGAACTAGTTCACCTTTGTAACATCCAGAAAAATGTAACTCGTTAGGTAATACAGAGTTACAGGAGGCCTGTTTTCTCCAGGGCTCTATTCCTTCTTCAGGAGTTAGATGTCTACTGTGATAATAATCATAATGTATACTTATTCACACAGATGTGCTAACATCTATTGAATTAGGTAGTTTTATGAGTGGTGCCATTTGAAATATGAATTTTAATCATTGAACTTAATTTAATAAAGCAAACCAAGGGTGGTAACAGTTGAAATGTTATAGTTAAAATTTCTGCCCAGGTGGCTTTTTCTATTCTTTTTTGCCCTATCCTTATGAAATATGGGATGGTTTTTGCATTACCTCATTTATTCTGACCAAGATCCAGTTCCCTGGGCTTCCATCTCCCGAATACCACATAAACCTCAGGCTGATTGGTTTTCTTCTCTCTTCTAAGTACTCAAATACTCATTGTTTACTAGAGACCAAGACTGTTTTGTTTTTTTTTTTAAATTCCTTCCAAATCTTTTCTTTGCCCAGATCATTACTTTTTAATACTATGCATAGATTGTTAGACAACTTTTAAAAAGTTCATGTTAATGACTTATTGAAAACAGAATGAGACAAGTTTTTATTTTCTAGTCTCCATAAGAAAGAGAAAGGTAATTTTTGGTCTATCTTTTCCGCCTACCCCATTTCTCCCCTCCAATGGCATGTCAGAATTCCACTGCACAAGGCTAGCCAGGACTTCAAATGCATGAGCACACACTCCTATTTCTTCTTCTCAAGCGAACCCACTACTTTCCAAACATTTTCCAACATACTCCCCAAAGGAGGAGAGTACCCTGCACTCAGTCATGGCATCTGTCATTTATGGACGCGCTTGGGGTACTTCACAGGGATCCTAGGCATCTCTGTGTTCTTGTGTCCACTGTTAGACACTACTTTCCAAACATTTTCCAACATACTCCCCAAAGGAGGAGAGTACCCTGCACTCAGTCATGGCATCTGTCATTATGGACCCCCTTGGGGTACTTCACAGGGATCCTAGGCATCTCTGTGTTCTTGTGTCCACTGTTAGCAAAGCTCCCCCATGACTGTCCTCAACACAGCACATTCTTATGACATGACAAAGCCCCCATGAATCACCCTTCATTTTCCAACATACTCCCCAAAGGAGGAGAGTACCCTGCACTCAGTCATGGCATCTGTCATTATGGACCCCCTTGGGGTACTTCACAGGGATCCTAGGCATCTCTGTGTTCTTGTGTCCACTGTTAGCAAAGCTCCCCCATGACTGTCCTCAACACAGCACATTCTTATGACATGACAAAGCCCCCATGAATCACCCTTTCCACATTTGTTGATTTTTTCAACAAATTGAGTTTTCCTCATATCAGTGGGGGTGTTTTTAATTATTGTCACTTGTTAAAGAGGAAAATGAGCTGGGTATTTAGCTCAGTGGTTCCGCAGCCTGCCTTCCAAGCACAAGGACCGGAGTTTGATACTGGTACCAAAAAATAAAAAAAAAACCCACACACAAAACCACAAGGCAAGAAAGTTTATCAACTTGCCCAGGACATAAAAAGCATACAGGCCAAACTCGCTGCAGGGAACATTATACACACTATAGTTGCATATACATAATCAAAGATCAATTTTACTTTATATAAAAAGATACAAAAAACAACTTAAAGAGAATCTTCTCTTGGAGATGTCTCTAACTTGTTGACAAGAACTGTTAGAGGCAGGATGGACAGTAAAGAGCATCCAATTCTACTCTCTCTTGTTAACTGAGACTCAGGTAATTTGACTGAAACCCGTAGGATACTGAGCCCAGAACCCAGATTTGTTGATTTCTATTCTAATGCTCCTCTTGCTGTATCACTTTTAATTTTAAGATTCACTTCTACAACAGTGAAGAATCTGTAAGTCACAGCCCTCGAATCCTATACAACACACCTTGTCTTACTTTCTTTTCCCATCTTTATGGCTTGGGCTTTCTGAGGAAGACAGTAACTGAAAGTGGCCCCTGCTAGCTTTTGCATCCCACAGTTAATTTACCTGGAAAGCTGTGGAGAGCATCTTCATTTTCCAGAATGCCCCTCTGTTTGGTTGCCTGAAGCTCACTTTTGGACTTCCAAACCAGCTTTACCATCCTGATCATCTCTGGTAAGTCCCAGGGCAGCGGCCCCTGCTGGTACTCCCGCCGGCTGCCCGGAGAGGAGGGCAGCACACCTTCTGGGGCCGGCCACCTCCTGCCTAGCTCTGCGGAGTGGAAATACCGCTCTAGCACAGGCATTCTGCCCCCTTCCCCAGCAGAGGAGGTAGGGCTGCTGCCGCGGCTCTTGCTGCAGCTGCAGCAGCTGCTGCTGCTTCTGCTGCTGCTGTGGCCGCTGCTGCCGCTACCAGAGGGGAAATTCTTCCCAGGCCGGGGCAGGCGAACCCCCGTGAGATCCTCTCCAGCCTTGGAAAGATAAGCCTCCTCCAGCCTGGCACAGGCTCTCTGGCTCTCCAGTCCCACAAACACTGGCAACGAGAGCGATGCACTTCCCAAGGTTTCTCACTGGTGAGAAACTGTTACTGTGCTCCTTCCTTAGAGATAGAACGCAGTTTTTTCCTTCTCTCTCAGGCACCGAGTTCACGGCACTTAATTAATCCCAGGCTACAGCTGGAACGACAGCGGAAGGGGGAAAAAAAGCCATCGAGGTTTCAGCATTTGCTTTTCCTCTTCTTCCTCTTGGTTTGTTTGTTTTGAATTCGCTGTTGGTGTTTGTAAAAGTTTGTCAAATGGTTTAACCGTGAAGAACTTCAGGCAAAGAAATGGGGTTTCCTCTTTGCCAGAATCTCTCAGAGGGGTCCCCAGAGGCTACTTATCTAGAGATGGCAAGTGAGAAGTCACCCCCCTGGTGCAGGAAGCCTAGATGTTTCCCACGTTCTGGTCCTGCAACCCCCCAAGGAGCTCCCAGAAAAGCAGGGGAAGCTGAGCACCCACTTCTGTCTGGAAGGTGGTGTGTGTGCGTGTGCGTGTGTGTGTGTGTGTGTGTGTGGCGGGCTGACAGGGACAGTGCCAGTTCACTGTGGTCTTGCACCCGGATGGGTGATCATCAGGACCTCAGTTCAAACACTCTGCTTCCTTCTCCACATCCTCCCCCCTCTGCTGTCACTCGGTGCTCAGCAAACCTGAGTTTTGGGCTATTAGTCAAATCCCTTTATAACCTCAGCTGCCCTTCAGCTGGAAGGGAGGTAACACCGCATCACATTCCAAAATTAACTCTGAAGGATGTGAATTAGGGAGGTGGCCAGAGCCCCTCGTGCACATGCGGAGGGCTTGTGTAGTGTAGGTGCATGGCTAGGGATGGTTAAAAACCATTTTCAAAGAAAAGTAATCATTTTAAAGGATGTTCAGGAAGTGGGGAGCATAAATAGCAAGGGAAAAAAGAAGGAAAGAAAGTGAGGAAGACTCACTTTCTGGAGAGAGAGAGTGTGGGCTCAATATCTGGGCCACTGCCTTCTTTGTCCCCACCTGAGAGCAACTGAATTGAGGACAACTATGACCAGGCCTCCTGTTTCCTGGGCTCAGAGATGAAGGTGCTCACTCTGGAAGTCAGAATTGACACAGCAGCAGTGATGCCCCCTGTTACTTATGTGAAAGGCCATGGACATAAATGAAAGTGGGGTGGTATTATGCTTGGTGATTTTGCTAGCAAATTGGATTTGTACGAACAACTCAAATTTGAACATTCACATGGAGAGCCCCTGCTTTCTTGGAGGACACTGTAACAGTCCCTTCTTCCTCTCCTCTTCACAGCTCTGCATTGCAAAGAGCTCTGTTTTGCTTGGCACTTTATTTTGCTGATGTACAGTCTGTTGCTCCTGCTCTACATTCCTTTCAGGGCTGGTTGATCACGCGATCATTTGATGTTTCTTTAGGGGAGCACAGAGGAGACTTCGGGGAGAGGAGAAAGACTATTGCAGAGTAAGTTTTATGTTCATTACTCTTGCTTCATTTTTTGAAAGTTGAAAGCAGCAAAGCCTGCTGTATTTTTTTGTAAGTATTATTCCTCTAAATGCGTAGTCAATAAGTTTGGTTTTCCCACACTGAATTAAGTGATTTTTGTTTTTCTTTTTTCCTGGATGGAAAAATATACTAGGAAACCTATTTTCTTTCCTAATTGGTGAAAAAGGGCAGAGAGCCTCTAAGAGTATAAAAGAACCATGAAAAACATTGAAGGTACTACATTTTGTGAATTTCATTATTAAACCATTGATCAAACAGCCCTTTCTATAACAATCAGATATTCATGGACCTATTTAGGGAATAATCAGTTGTCCATTTTATCAAAAAGATATGCTTTTCTTTATTTTCCTTTCTTAGAGACAAAAGGATTTATGCCTCAGGTTGTTGCACCTGCCACTTTTGATAGTCCTTCTGTCTGTCCATCCTTAATTTACATTTCATTTTCATCAGATTGGGGATATCAAGGCTCTTTAGAATTGAGATGATTTTATTTAATAAGGACATGTAGGCTGCTGCAGTCTATTACCATATTTCCTGAATAATGTCTTAAACTCACTCCTCAGTTACAAACTTCCTTGACATAACAACTAAAGAGTTTCCTAAGGGTTTGACTATTTTTATTTTTGTTCAGTTATTTTGCAATAGTACTTAGCATCAGGATATCCTGACCCTTGGAACAAAGGGGTTAAGAACAAAGAAAACAAATATATGATATAATAATATATCATATACACATATACTAGGAATACAACTCTGCATTGTGCATTTCTTCAGTAATGAATTTTTAAAAATCTAAGAATATGTTTCCATTGTATACTATTTTACACATTTCCCTGTAAAAATATTTTAGAGAAGTTAAAATAATGTTGGGAGTATTATATGTGCTGCTGAAGCGAGCACAAGAATGTTGTGAGTATTGAACATGAATACTTCCTATGGGAGATGAATTAGGGCCAAGCAAGCACTGTTTCAAAGTTTCATTCCTAAGGGGGAGCCTAGTTCATTTGATGGTTTGCAAGTTGAAAATGTTTGTACAATTTAAAAGTTTTCCCCCAATATGGGATTATCTCCATCCCAGAGTAGGAGAGCAAAAAATACCACAAGAAAGGTCGTTCTCATGGTATTTCTGGCTCACGTAGAAACAGGAAGGACAGGAAATCTTGCGAGAAACCTTGGCACAGGAGATTTTTGGCTCAACTGCAGGCTCAGAGACCGGGAGAAGCCGATGCAGTGCTAGCACTCACTGGACTGAAATCTCTTGACCACACTCTTTTTCTGAAAGATGCTTTTGTTACATTTTGAAGCAAGCGCTTCCCAGGCTGCGATCTCTTTGGTCTTTCATACATTTGCATAGGAATGTGTGGCTCTAAAGCTATAATGTTTTTTCTTTACCCAATAAGCACCCTTCACCTTGAAATAGCGTCCATCATCAGAAGTCTGAGTCCCAGGTATGGGGAAAAGAATAGGGATGTTCTGTGCTCAAAGGAGTCATGGAGCTCAGCCTCATTTCTCTGACTTGTATGAATTCTTACAAACGTTAATACCATTATTAATGTGTTACAGACAGAACTGTTTAAGACAGACTTTCAAAATAACCATGATCTTTTTTCAGGCATTGTGAGTCAACCTAATATTCCATTAAGACAAAAACAGAGGCATTCTCTTCTGGGAGAAAGAAATGTAATGAGAACTATCAAAGTCAAAACAGCTTGTTCCAACAGAAACCTAATTCGATCAGAAAGACTTGCTGTGTGGTTGCAACTATAAAATAAAGAAATTGATAACCCAATGCTAAAGCATATGGAAAAAGAATGTGTTAAAGACACAGTTGATTTTGTCCTTGAATTATTCTAAAGAATTTTTAATGTTCTGATGGTTATATAAATCTAGCAGAATATAAGTGTTCTAGTTATTAGGCAGATAAATTTTTCTTGTGTATAATTTAAAGAACAAAATATTATCAGTTAAGTATTTCTAATCATGCTAGAGAATATATCCTTAAAATGCAAATTTAAACCTATATTTATTGCCATTTTCTTTCCTCTTGAGTCTATTGATATTCTCACAAAGCTTTATCTTAATGAAAATTTCACATGAATATTTTATAAATACTTTATATCCTTACCGATATATCTGTTTTAGAATAATTTTCAAACTATTGAGAGAGTTTATTGTTTTCTTCCGCTTTCCTCTTGATCAATTCAGTTTAAATATGAATCTGTAAGCACACACACACACACACACACACATGAATTGTCTGACTACCACAATTCCAGAAAACAATTAAAAAGAAATCCAAAATGAGCAGAGAGGAGCAGGTCTTCCTACTTTGTTAATTGTAGTCTAAGTAGGAGAAGCTCAAACAATTTACAGTGTCCTTCAGGAGAAATAGAAATAAAATAGCTTTTGCCTTAGCTAATCTGAAGGATACCTGCCAGCAACTAGGGAGAAGGACTTTTTCGACCATAGAAGGCAGCACATATTTTCATCATTACATGGGGAAGGAGGTGAGTAGGCAAGATGAAGAGAGGTGAGCTTGGGAAAAGTAGAAGCGACTGAGCTGATAGATTCATAGTTTGATTTCTCAACGGTGCCAAAACTATACCCATTCTCTTCTTCACTCTGTAAATATGAATTAACTGTGGCAACAGCAGGAGGAGAACACCCCAGAGGGGCCCTAGGTCCTTTTCCAGGTACTGGAATCTGTCTGACTCTACTGCCTACATCTTAATTTTCAACAGGAGTTACCTCTTGTTCCAATATTACTATTATTATTATTATTATTATTATTATTATTATTATTGTTATTATTCTACAGAGAAACCAGCTAGCATCCGATCTTTAGCCTGGCTCTTAGCTATCTTAATTGATGCTAAGTTTGCTGTCTCTGAGAGTTCTGTAACAGCCAATGAGTTGAGTTTGAGACCAGAGAGGCAGAAAGACTTGCTTTTCCCTCCGTGGCACCTCCCTGCTGGTGAACTTGCTGACTATTCTTGTCCACTGTTGAATATTTGGCCCTATGGTGTACGATCCTAGCCTTCTCTGCCTGTAACATTTTCAGGACTTCTGACTGTGAAAGGTCATAAGTGATGGTAGAAGACACTTTTCAGAATTTCATATCTGCATGTGTCTATTTTTATAAAAATACCTACAGCAATGAAATCTCTGAAGTAACTCTCCAGCACTACTCATCTTAGATTTATAAAAACTGGTTTTCAGTTTGTACTCTCTATTAAGTTTTGCTCCAAGCTTAGTACCTTATATATAAATGGGTATGAAACCAATAAGCACTTTATCCATCATACTCAAATCTTATAAGAATCAAAGAAGACTAAAATATGAGCTATGTTAAACTAGAAATCTAGTATTATAATTGTCAAATTATAAAAAAATCACACTTAACAATTTATGTAAACTCAAATTTTAGCTATATTTTCCAAGGATCTATAGTGTTAGAAAACTGAAAATCCAACCCAACTACCATTATAGTTGGCTCCACTTTGGAAATTCA